AAGGAAACAATCCATCAAGAGATATAACAATTATAAATTTATATACTGATTTATTTATCAGAGCACCCAATATATAAAACAAACACTACTAGACATAAAGTGAGACATAGGCCCCAATACAATAATAGTGGATGATATCAATACCACGCTCCTGAACAGATATATCATCCAGACAAAGAAATCAACAAAGAACTATGAGTTAAGTTACACCATAGGCAAATGGACTCACCAGACATTTACAGAATATTTCACCTAACAGATGCAGAATACACACTTTTTTCATCGGCATGCAATATTTCCTAGAATAGACATATATTAGGCTACAAAGTAAGTCTTAAAAAATTTAAAACAGAGATGATATTCTGCATCTTTTCTGATCACAATGGAATGAAACTGAAAATCAACAGCAAAAGAAACTGTAGAAATTATACAAACACATGAAGATTGAACAACATACTTCTGAACAAACAGTGGGTCATTGAAGAAGTCAGAAGGGAAATTTTTAAATTCCTTGAATTAGCTGGACATGTTGGTGCATGCCTGTAATCCCAGATACAAAGAAGGATGAAGAAGGAGGATCTCAAATTCAAGGCCAGCCTGGGCAACTTAGTAAGACCCTGTCTCAAAATACAGTAAAACAGGTTGAGGATGTAGATCAGTGGTTGATCATTTACCTAGCCTGTGAGAGGCCATGGGCTCAGTACTGCCAAAAAAGAAAAATCCTGAATCATAATGACAATGGAATCACAACGTATTAAAATCTGTAGGATACAGCAAAAGCCGTGCTAAGAAAGAGTTTCCTAGCAATAAGTGCCTACATAAAAAAAAAGAAGAAAAGATACAGATCTCAAATAAATAATACATTTCAAGTTCTTAGAAACTAACAAGAAAAACCAAACCCCAAATCAGTAGAAGGAAAGAATAAAGATCAGAGTAGAAATAAATGAAATAAGAGACTAAAAGAACAATACAAAGGACCAGTGAAACAATTGGTTCTTGAAGAGATGAACAAAATTGACAAATCTTTATATAAATTGAAGAAAAGAAAGAGAAGACCCAAATAAAGTTAAAGATGAAAAAGGACACATTGCAATTAATACCACAGAATGCAAAGATCATTAGGAAAATTTCTAAATATGCTAATACATTTAAAAATCTGGAAGAAATGAACCAATTTCTAGACACATATGACCAACCAAAATTGAAGTAAGAGGATATAAAAAAACTAAATAGACCAATAATTAATAATGAAATTAATCAGCAATAAAAAAAAGTCTCCCAACAAAGAAAAGTCCAGGACCAGGTGACTTCACTGTTGAATTTCACCAGACTTATAAAGAACTAGCACCAATGTTTATCACATTATTCTATAAAATTGCAAGGAAAGGAAACTCCCCCAAATCATTCCACAAAGTCTGCCTTACCCTGCTACCAAAACCTGAAAGAGCCACAATAAAAAAGAAAACTAATGGCCAATATCCCTGATGAACAAAGAAATAAAAATCCTCATCAAAATACTAGCAAATTGAATTCAACAGCAAATCAGAAGACCATATACCAGGATCAAGTTGGATTAATTCCAGAAATGCAAGTAGGGTTCAAAATACACAAATCAATAAAAGTAATACAGCACATAAACAGAATCAAGGGGGAAAATCCCATGATCAATTCAATAAATCCAGAAAAAAATTGATAAAATTCAACATACCTTCTTGATAAAAGCCCCAAATAAACTAGGTACAGAAGGATCACACATGATAAACTCAGAGTCAACACCACACTGAATGAGGAAAATTGAAAGCATTTCCTGTAAAATCAGAAACAAGATAAGAGTGTCCACTCTTATCACTCTTTTTCAAGAAATTTGAGCCAATCATGCAAATGAATAAATTAAAAGGCAAACTGGCAAGAAGGAAGCCAAATCATCCCTGTATATGAATCTATATTGAAAAACCTAAAGATACCCTCAATAGATGAATAGATAAAGAAAATGTGGTGTATATACTCAATGGAATATTACTCAGCTTTAAAGAAGAGTAAAATTATGGCATTTGCCAATAAATGGTTGGAGTTGGAGAATATCATGCTAAACAAAATAAGCCAATCCCACAAAACCAAAGGTCGAATTCACAATAAGGCAGGGGTGCACTAGGGAAGAATAGTGTTACCTTAGATTAGGTAGAGGGATGTGATGGGAGGGGAGGGGATGTGGGGATAGGAAAGATAATAGAATGAAATAGACATGATTACTGTATGTATATATGTGACTACATGACCAAAATGATTCTGCAACATGTACACTCAGAAAAACGAGCAATTATATCCCATCTATGTATGATATTTCAAAGTGCATAAATGCATTCTACTGTCATGTATAACTAATTAAAACAAATAAAATAATTTAAAAAGACTACTAGAACTGATAGATTCAGTAAAGTAAAAGCATATAAAATCAACCTACAAAATCAGTAGCTTTTCTGTACACCAATAATGAACTCACTGAGAAAAAAAAAATCAAGAAAGTAATCCCATTCACAATAGCCACACAGACACACAAATACCTAGGAAAAAAAAACCAACTAAGGATGTGAAAGTCCTCTACAATGAAAATTACAAAACACTAAAGAAATAAATTGAAGAAGAACCAAAAAGGTGGAAAGGCCTTCCATGTTCATGGATTAGGAGAACTAATCTTGTTAAAATGTCCATACTACCCAAAGCAATCTACAGTCAATGCAGTCCCATCCAGATAGGAATGACAGCTGGTCATGCTAACGCACATCTATGATTCCAATGATTGGAAAGGCTAAGGCAAGAGGACTGCAAGTTTGAGACCAGCCTGGGTAATTTAGTGAGACTCTGTTTCAAAATAAAGAAATAAAACAGCTGAGGAGGTAACTTAGTGAAAGTGTTCAACCTCCAGTTCCACAAAACAAACAAACAAAAAACCCAGTGACATTTTTTTTTTCACAAAACTATGAAAAAAATCCTAAAAGTCACAGGGAAACAACAACAAATAAAAAATTTAAAAAACCAAATGACAAAGCAATCTTGAGCAAAAGAGCAATGCTGGCGGCATCACAATACCTGGTTTCAACACACACTATAGAGCCATAGTAACAAAACCAGCATATTTTGGCAGAAAAACAGACTCATGGACCAATGGAACAGAATAGAGGACTCAGAAATAAATGCACACATTTTAAGTCAATTGATTTAAACAAAGTTGTCAGAAATAGAAAAAGGACAGCCTCTTCAACAAATATTGCTGGGAAATCTGGATTTAACCATGTAGAAAATTGAAACTTGACCCTATGTCTGTCTCACCTTGTACAAAAATTAAATCAAAATGGATCAAAGACTTTAATGTAAGACCTGGAACTCTGAAACTACTAGAAGAAAACACTGGGGAAACATTTAAGATATTGGCACAGGCAACGATTTCCTAGTAGGATGCCAAAAGCAAGAATTGACAAATGAATTACATCAAACTAAAAAACTTCTGCACAGCAAAAGAAATAATGAACAGAGAGGACAGGTAACTGACAGAATGGAAGATAATCTCTGCCAGTTGTCTACCCAACAGAGGATTCATATCCAGAATGTATAAAGAACTCAAAAAATTGAACATACACAATCAATCCAATGTTAAAATGGGTGAATGATATGAATAGACACTTCTCAAACAAGAAATAAAATGGTCAATAAATATATTTAAAAATGCTCAACATCTACAGCCATCTGAGAAACGCACATAAAAACTACAATGAGATTCCATCTCACTCCAATTAGGATGCCTATCATTAAAAAAATAGCCAGGTGTGGTGACACATGCCTGTGATTTCAGCAACTCAGGAGGCTGAGGCAGGAGGATTACAAGCTCAAGGCCAGCTTCAATGATTTAGCAAGGTACTGTCTCAAAATTAAAAAGTTAAAAGGGCTGGAGATGTAGCTCAGTAGTAAAGTGTCCCTGAGTTCAGTCCCCAGTAAAGAAAGAAAGAGAGAGAGAGAAAGAAAGAAAGAAAGAAAGAAAGAAAGAAAGAAAGAAAGAAAGAAAGAAAGAAAGAGAAAGAAAGAAAGAAAGAAAGAGAAAGAAAGAAAGAAAAGATGATGGCAAGGATGTGGAGGAAAAGGAACCCTTACACACTGTTGGTATAAATGTAAATTTGTACAGCCACTAGGAAAATAGTATAAAGGTTCCGCAAAAAAATAAAAATAGAACTGCCATATGATCCAGCTATCCCACTCCTGGATTTATATCTGAAGGAAGTAAAGTCAGCACACAAATGATATACCTGCATATCCATGTTTACTGTGGAACTAGTCACAATAGCCAAGATATGAAATCAGCCTAGATGCCCATCAATGGATGAATGGATTTTTTAAAATGGAATATCACTCAATCATAAAGATGAATGAAATCCTATCATTTGGAGGAAAATGGATGGCACTGGAAGATATGTTACGCAAAATAAGCTAGACACAGAAAGACAAGTATAGTATGCTTTTTCTCATATGTATAAACTTAAAGAAAAAAAAAGATGACCTGAAAGTAGAAGAGGAACTAGTGGGGAGGGAATTGGGGAGAGGGGAAAAAGGAAAGAGAGAAGAGTAAGGAGGATGTATAAAATGCATTATATATGCAAGAATGGAAATATCACAGCGAATCCAATCGATTCATACAATTAATATGTTAAAATTACAATAAATTTAAAAAAGAAAATCATATATGAGCCTCCAGGTCTAATAATCTTTCTTTCTTTCTTTCTTTCTTTCTTTCTTTCTTTCTTTCTCCCTCTCTCTCTCTCTCTCTCTCCCCCCCCCAACACATGTAAAAATAGATAAAAGATTGTGAGTGTTGGTGAGAATGTGCAGAGAAAGGACCCTGTTGGTAGTATTGTACACTAGTATAGCCGTTGTGGAAAATAGCATGGAGGATCCTCAAAAACCTAAAAATAGAATTACCATATGATCCGACAGTTCCACGACTGGGTACGTACCCGAACTGAAGTCAGGATGCCCAGAAGATGCCTATATTCCCATGCTTGTTGCAGCATTATTCTCAATCCCTAAGATACAAAAACAACTGTGATGCCCAACAATGGATGAATCATTTTTTAAAACATGGTCTATATACACAATGAACATATACACAATGAATATATAAATTCTGTCATTTTCAACAAATTGACTGAACATAGAAGATGATATAACGTAGAAGTGAAATAAGTCAGGTACAAAGAGACAAATATTACATGATCTCACTTATAAATACAATCTTCAAAAGTTATAGAAGTAGAGAGTACAATGGTGGTCCCCAGGAGTTAGTAGGGGATGGGGGATAGACAGGAAAAGGGGAGCACTTGGTCAATGGATAAAAAAAAATCACACTTCTGTAGGAGGAAGAAGTCACAGTAAAGTGACTATAATTAACATACATTTCAAAGTAGCTAAAAAGAAAAAATTTTTTTTTGCTTGTTTTGTTTTTATACCAGGAATTGAACCCACGGGTTCTTAACTAAGCCACATTTTCAGCCATTTTTATTTTTTATTTTGAGACAGGGTCTTGCTAAGTTGCTGAGGCTGGCTTTGAACTTGAATCCTCTTGCCTCAACCTCTCCAGTCACTGAGATTATAGGCATGCACCACCCCATTGGCCAAAGAAACATTTTTAAATGTTCTCATCACAAAGAAATGACCTAGCAGCTCAGGAGACTGAGGCAGGAGGATTGCAAATTCAAAGCAAGCCTCAGCAACAGCAAGGTGCTAAGCAGCTCAGTGAGACCCTATCTCTAAATACAAAATAGGGCTGGAGATGTGGCTCAGTGGTTGAGTGTCCCTGAGTTCAAACCCCGGTACACACACACACAAAAAAAAAAAAAAAAACAAGAAAATGATAAGTATTTGAAGTAATAGATATGCTGCCTGGTCTGATTTTATCATTCCACAATACATACATGTATCAAAATATCACATCATACCTCAGAAATACATATAATTATTATTTGTCAATTAAAAATAAAAGTATGAAAACAAAATTAAAAGGGATATGCAATTTTAAATGATGATAAACAAGCACATGAAGAACTGCTCAGCATCATTAGTCATTTGGGAAATGTCAATCAAAGCCACAGTGGACACCAAGCCACCAAAGGGGAGCAAATTCAGTGACTCACCTCAGCTAACCTAAAGGTCGCTTCACACACAGTCACACTTGGCTGCAGATGGCAGGCAGCAGCAGTAGCAGGTGGGACTCTCCTAGGACCAATGTGGACATGTTCTTCATGGAAGAGAAGGTGCAGAAGGTGGGGGCAGCATCGATGCTGGGCAGAACCAATGGAAGACCAGGATCAGGATATCAGGGATAACTGGGATGACCTTGTCGTCCAGGGAAGTGGGGCAGGGGTGGGGATGGAGAGGAAGCAGAAGTAAAACAAGAAGTAAAAAGTTCAGAAGTAACGAAAAAAAATTAAATTAAAAAAAAAAGAAAAGAAGAGCAGAGAAGATAATAGAGAAAGAACAGGAACCGAAGACAAGGGGAAATTAAAGAGGTCAGAAGAACTGAAAACCCAACACCTACCAGAAGAACAACTAACAGATAAACTGTGGCTAAACAAATTATGGCCGGATCGAAAACCAGCAAAGGAAACTCTGGGTGTGAATAATGCAGTTTATGAAATAGATGTTATAAATCCCTCTTCAAGTGATGATGTCATAGAGTGTGGAAAGTTACTAACGATAAATTATACAATATGAAATCACTATATTATACTATGTTATTTTTTTAATTTATTTTTTAAATTTTAGTACTGAGGATTGAACCCAGGGGCATTTAACCACTGAGCCATATCCCCAGCCCTTTTTATCTTTTATTTAGAGACAGGGTCTCAATGAGTTGCTTAGGCCCTCACTAAGTTGCTAAGGCTGGCTTTGAACTCAAGATCTTCCTGCCTCAGCTCTTGAGCCACTGGGATTACAGGCATGAGCCATCATGCCCAGCTCTATTTTACCAAGTTTTTGAAAATTTCAGTTTGAGAGGAGTGTATTTCATTAGAAATGGATCGTTCGAAAAAGATTGACAATTCAATCTTTTTCAATTGAATTCAATTGACTGGGCTTTGCAGTTAACACACATACACACACGCGCACGCGCATGCGCAAGAAAAACAAAGCAAGGCCAAAAAGTAGAAAGATGTACTTCCTGGTGGTAAACTACCACCACAAAAGAAGATGACCGGTCAGATTATGGAGGTTATGGATGCAGGATATATATGCCTATGAAAACTTCATGTGACATTTTATCTTCAATATATACACATATACACATGCGTGCGTACACATGCACACACATACACAGATCGTACTTAATGCCCACTGGGATATATATATATATATATATATATATATATATATATATATATATATATTTTTTTTTTTTTTTTTTTTTTTAAGTGTTGGAGCCAGGCAGGGTGGCACACACAGTAATCTCAGTGACTTGGGAGGCCGAGGCAGGAGGATCATAAGTTCAAAGCCAGTTATCAGCAACTTAGCGAGGCCCTAAGCAACTTAGCGAGACCCTGTCTCAAAATAAAAAATAAAAAGGGTTGGGGATGTGACTTGGTGGTAGAGTACCCCGAGTTCAATCCCCATTACCAAAAATAAATAAATAAATAAAGTGTTGGCAAGAGTATAGAGAAATGAGAACCCCCATGTATTGTTGGTAAGAATAGAAAATGGTGTAGCCAATTGGAAAAAGTTTGGCAGTTCTTCAAAAAATTAAACAGAGTTACTATTGGACCCAGCAATTTCCTAGATAGATAGTCAAAAGAATTGAAAACCTATTTTCACACAAAAACTTGCAACAAAATGTTCATAGCAGTATTATAGCTAAATAGGGAAAATAATAGCTAAAAGGGGAAATAACCCAAACGTCTACCAACTGGTGATGCAAAACCAAATTGTGGTAAACAATGAAATGCAATTTGGCAATAAGAAGGAACGAAGTACTGCATGTTACAACATGAATGGATGTTGAAAACGTTGTGCCAGGTGGAAGGACCAGTTACAAAATACCACGAATTAGACAATTCCATTTATATGAATGTCAAATAGGCAAATCCATAGAGGCAGAAAGTAGATTAGCCATTGCCTGGAACTGGACAATTGGAAATGGGGAGCGACTGTTAATGGGCTTGGCATTTCTTTTTGAGAGATGAAACTGTTCTAAAATGGATTGTGGTAATGGCTGCACAACTTAGTAACAATATTGAAAGTCAATGAATTGCACACTCTAAATGAGTTAATTATATAGTATGTGAATTTTTACCTCAAGCTGGTACTTACCAAAACTATACCAAGGTAGTGTTTTTTGTTGTTTTTTTTAATAAAGATTTTTTTTTAAAGAGAAAGAGAGAGACAGAGAGAGAGAGAGAGGGAGAATTTTTAATATTTATTTTCTAGTTTTCGGTGGACACAACATCTTTGTTTGTATGTGGTACTGAGGATCGAACCCGGGCTGCACACACGCCAGGCGAACGCGCTACTGCTTGAGCCACACCCCCAGCCCCTAAGGTAGTGTTTTTTAATGGTTAAGAAATTCTTCTTTCCTTGGTTGTTCAGAGACAAAAGACCACCTCACCCTGACATACCCAAAATGAGACTTGCCTCCACCCTTCCTCCATGATTCCCTTGTTTTCTAAAACCATAAATTTCATAAACCATAACACTCTCCTTTGAGACTTTCCTCATTAATGAACTCTTTCCCTATTGCACTAGCTGGAATAAAATCATTTCTTTTAATGTCAGGTGCATTGTACCTTAGATGGTATTTAGACATAGGATGCTTTTTTCAAGGATTAATTAGATTTTTAAACTCAAAAATTAATGGAAGCAGCCCAGCACAGTGGCGCACATCTGTAATCCCAGTGACTTGGGAGGCTGAAGCAGGAGGATCATGAATTCAAAACCAGCATTGGCAACTTAGCAAGGCCCTAAGCAACTTAGGGAAACCCTGACCCTGTCTCAAAATAAGATATAAAAAATGCTGGGGATGTGGCTCAGTGCTAAACACCCCTGGATTCAATCCCTGGTACAAAAAAAAAAAAAATTAATGGAAGCATTAATGGTCTGAATGAACTGGTGTCTGGTATTTGAATTTTGATGTATATGGAGCACATTGTAGCTTGGTTTGGCACAAGTTTGTGAGTCAGGCTATGCTGGTGCAGTTTCTGTTCCTCATGGAGCTCGATTTTTAAAAAAAAAATGTTGAAAGAATTAAAAATCAGGACTGGGGTTGTGGCTAAACAGCAGAACAAATGCCTAGCATATGTAAGGCCCTGGGTTAAATCCCCAGCACCACAAAAATAAATAAATAAAAAAGATACAATATAAAAAGATAAATAAAATTTTTTTAAAAATCAATACATGTTGGCAGCCGAGCAAAAATACCACAACTTCAAATGATATTGGCCAAATTATATCATTATATTGTGTTCATGTACAAATATGTAACAATGAATCCCACCATTGTGTGCAATTTTAATGCACCAATAAAAAATAAATAAATGAACAACTGAAAAAAAAATACTACAACTTCTTTGTTGGTTACAGTTTGGTAAAAAAAAAAAAATCTTTTTTAAAGAAAAAAGTACACATACCCTTGACCTAGTTATTCCACTTCTGGGAATTAATTCTACAGATAACTTGCGCATGTGCAAAGGGCCACCTGATAAAGTAACTCTTTGCAATATTGTTTGCAATCACAAGAGAGCAGAAGTCTCCTAAGTATCCATCAGGAGGAGCTGATTGAGCTCAGCTATGCTTCATACCTATAATGAAAGAAGGTGCAGATGTGAAAAACACTGAGAAAGTTTTTGTGCTACAGTGTATCCCTGAGATAGTCACTCTGTTCCAGCCACAATGGTTGCTTTGGTCCTATCAGCTCCTGCCTTAGAAGGGTGTTCCCTCTGCTCTGAATATTTTGCTGGAGTCTGTGCCTAGCTCATTCCTTCACATCAAGCCATAGCAAGTCCTTCACTGGCCACTGCCAGAGAAGAAATATAGCTTTTTCTTCCATTCTCTTAGGCTCTTAGGTCAAGCAAACTTCTGTAACTATACATAGGTTGAGAAAAACAAGTTCAAGTTTATTGACTTGTGTATTTCATATATACATGGGGACACCCAGAGAGTAGTTCTCAGAGAAATGGCTTTGGATTCCAGCATCTTCAACAAAGAAGATGTTTTTAAGAAGTGAGAAGACAAAGGAAAAGGATTTTGAGTCTTTAGGAACTGCAACTTTAGGGGTAAGGCAATTAAAAGCTGGTTAGTAAAGCTAGTTGACACAAAGTCCTCTGGTAACATCTCCAGGCCCTTAAGGGTCCAAAGTTATCTTTTGTTCTCTCTGGTTGAAAGCAGATTGGGGAAGGATGCCTTTTGTTTTTATAAATCTGTATCCTGCTTTTAGGAAAATAGAGAAAGGGGAGAGAGCTTTCCGGCATCTGCTTCTTAATTGCCTTCAGCTCAAGAGTCCTTCACTGGCAGGGAGGTTATTCTATTCTGGTGTCTATTATCCCATTCCACCCTATGTGAAATGACAACAAGCCACACCACCCCCCACACCTACTTCCACTCTCTGTCCCCCTTGCCCTGCTTTTCTCCATAGCATTTACCCTTATCATTATGTATTTTCTTGTTTATTTATTTCCCAGAACCTCCAGGAGGGGGAGGAATGGATCTGTTTTGTTCATTACCAAGTCCTAATGCTCAACTGTTCATTACCAAGTCCTAATGCTCAACTGCTCAACACACAGTAGGTGCTCAGTAAATATTAATTGAATAAATGAATATGTTAAGTGAAAAAAGCAAGATACTAGGCAGTGATTTTTAACATGCTTCTATTTACTTTAAGAGAGGGATTGAGTATCCATAGAAATGCTTCTGGGTACATGAGATATCTTAAAAGTTTACAGAACTAGGTCATGCTGGTTCTCTGCTGGAGGTGTCTAAAAGAATAGAAGGGAGGCTTTTTTTACTATATGCATATGCATAGATCATTAACTTTCCAAAAATTTTTAAATTTAAAAGTAAAAAGAAGCCATAATTCTAGTATTGGGGAGGATGAGGCAGTTCAAGGTCAGCCTCAGCAACTTAGTGAGACCCCATCTCAAAATAAAAAATAAAAAGGACTGGGAATGTAGCTCCTGGGTTCAATCCCCAATACTACTAATACTACTACTATTTCTACTGCTACTACTACTACTAATAATAATAATAATAATAATAATAATAATAAATTTTTAAAGTAAAAAGAAAGTTCTCATGCTATTTTTTTGAGGGGGTTGAGTAACAGGGATTGAACTCAGAGACACTCAACCACTGAGCCACATCCCCAGCCCTATTTTGTGTTTTATTTAGAGACAGGGTCTCACTGAGTTGCTAAGCACCTTGTCCTTGCTGAGGCTGGTTTTGAACTTGTGATCTTCCTGCCTCAGCCTCCTGAGCCAGTGGGATTACAGGCATGCGTCAACACACCAGGCTCCATTTATTTTTTATAGCTCCAAATTATGCTGTCCTGTGAATGTCCTATAGGTCATTTCATCAGTCCTCTTTCAATGG